TTATAATATATTATTATATCACATATTTATTAAAAGATTGAATAAAACAAATTATATATGTATTTATTACAAGATAATTAGAATATATATAATAATTTATAAAGTAATTAATAAATGTTGTAGTGGAGAACACTGAACACTTTTGAAAGTATTAGAAGAATATTCGTGCAATGCATCGAGACACATTTTCATTTCAATGTTTCGTTTTATTTTTTATCCATGTTGATATAATACGATTTTATGTGGTTTTGAAAAGAAAAAAAATTATATTTTTGAATAAAATATAAATTTGAAAATATTATATAAAATTTATAAAAAAATATATCAATATTAGTATCAAATTAACTATTTAAAAGTTCTTGTTTGTGTATTTTTTTAATTCAAATTTTTTATTATAAATCGATTTTGAACTAGAGACGTTAAAAATGATGAATCGACATCGATTTAATTTAACGTAACGAAGTAACTTAATTTATGTTTAATAATATATTTTTATAAAGATAATAATTAAGTATTATGTTAGAACTCAATAATTATCCTAATTATATTTTATATTTTTATATTTTAAAAGATTTTACTTTATGCATAAAAATGATTTTTAAGAGTTTTTGTCAAATATTTTATAATATAATATAATATAAATAAATAGTGAATTGCACGTGTAAATGAATTATATGGATGTAAATGGTCTAATATTTAATTGGGTATGTTCAAATGATCATATTTAAGTTTTTATAAAAAAAATAAAAAAGTAATTAGTTGCTGATTTAGAAGGGTAGGTGATCTTACTGAATCCTTGCTTGTATCCGGCAAAACTCCACTTCCGGCACTGGCGAAGTTGATTCCGTTGGCCGGAAAACGTTTCAGATTTCCGTTTGCTAATTCACGGTATACCTCTTGGAATGGTCTTTGGAACTTAATCTTCAAATTTTGTGCTGCATGATTTTATTGATTTATTCCGGTGTGGCATGGTAATAAACATTTTGAAGTATTTGGATAAATAACTTATACCGGTGTCAAACCAGTAATAAGAAGTTTTTGAAGAAGTTAAATCATTTTAACTTATAATAAATTGATAAACATATTTATAGAAAAACATAAGTTATTTCAAATAAGCAATGAGAGGAAGAAGATATACATACCCATGAAATCCGCAACGGTTCGACCATTGGTGAACCGTCCGGTGGGACGGTGAAAGAAAGTCGAACCGTAAGGTGGAAAATCGGCCTGAACGGTGCAATTAGGTACATAATGATTGTTACCCGGATCAAAAAGAGAGTCCCCGAACACAAAAACCGACTTAACATATGCATCAGCCGAGGCCGAAATCAGAAGAAATACACTGAGGAAGAGAGTTCGTTGTGACGATCTCTCCATCATCTCGATCGATCTCGCTTTGGTATCAATTTTTCGTACAAATGGTGTGAATTTGAAGCTAAAAAGAGTTGAAGAAGTTGCAAGAAGAAAGTGACGAAAGAAGAGAGGAAACTGAGATAGGAAATGGAACCGAATACATGAGAAAAGCATACCAACAATTTGCCAATATAAAATATTCTTTCATTTTCTATTTTTCTTTAATTTTTGTTTATTAAATTTATTAAAAATAACAAATCATTTAATAACTTATAAGGCAATTTTTTGGAAAACTATTTTATGTAGTTTATTTAAGATAAAATATGGTTTTTTATATTTTAAATAAATGATCCTTATTCATTTAATAGCATAATTAGTGTGGGAATCATGCGATACATGATAGCATAAGTATTTTGATTAATGATATAAAAATTGTCTATATAAATATATGTTAGTTGTTAGTAAAATCATCAATAAATAGTATTCAAATAATTCGAAAAAATTAATAAAATTTAATTATTGAAAATTTAATATATGATACACACACACACATATATATATATATATATATAGAGAGAGAGAGAGAGAGAGAGAGAGAAATTTGTTTACAAATAAAGTTGTAAAATTAAATAAAATGAGTAATAACAACGACAAGGGTGTGGATAATTTATGCATTGTTTGTCTGATTGATGTTGAAGTTTCTTTTTCTTTTGAAAAAGAGAATGATACATCTGCTGGTTTTTATTAGAAAACAAATAAGTGTACGTCTAAATCGCACTGTAACTAATTATATGTACAAAAAATGTGGTAAATAGAAACTTAGTCTATAAATAATATGAAATGATATTAATCGGTCATTAATACATATAAATTATTGTACAAAATAATTCATTGTTATAAGACGAATGATATCTACAAATAACAAAAACAAATACTCCCTTCATTCCAAAATAAATGTCTCTGTTTTTATTTTAGTTTGTCCCAAGTAAATATTCACTTTAAAAATGTAATGTCTACTTTTCAACTCTACTCTTAATTATGAGATAGTGAATTCATTGATATCTGAATTATGAATGATAGAATTGTCATTTACTTAATTAAAAGTGCAATGATTACACATTTATAAAACTATGGATATGTATCATGGGACTTAAACATGTATTAATACAACTTTCAAAGTACAAATAAATAAATAAAATTTTAAATATTAATCAATAAATGTTATTTACTATTATTAATATTTTAATTATTATATTAATGTGTGTATATATATATATTAAATACATAGAGATGTTGTATTTTATAAGTTTGAAGTCAATGTGAATTAATAAAATATTGATCAAGTAATATTATTTATTGTCACTAAATTTTAAATTATAGTGAGAGAATGGAAAAGATTGATATAATGTAAATTAAATAAGTAAAATAAATTGACTTATATATATATATATATATATATATATATATAAGAGAAGGGTACTCGGACAATGCAGCGAGATATATCTTGATTTTAATATTTCATTTTATTATTTATCTCAGTGGATGTTATAATATGGTCGTATGTGATTTTGAAAAGGTGATGATGTTTTTAATTTTGAATAAAATATAAGTTTGAAGAAATCATAAAATTGTGACAAAAATATATCGATATTAGTATTAAATTAATTATTTAAAATTTTTCATTTTTTGTGTAATTTTTTAATTCAATTTTTTTATAGTTTAATTTAGATACAATAACGAAATAATTTTTATTTGGTTTAATAATATAATTTTCTTATAAAGATAATAATTATTTATTTTGTTAGAACTCGATAATTATTCTATTTATATTTTAGAATTTTTATATTTTGAAATGAGATGTTTATCATCTATTTGATTATGTTTATCCGCAGTTAGTTATACGAATTCAAATATCGAGTTTTAATAAGTTGTACTTATGCATAATTTACTTGTAATTTTGAATTTTAAGTAATATGCATCAATATATAATACTTTATGTATAACAAAAATATATCGATATTCGTATCAAATTAACTATTTAAAATTCCTCATTTTTTAGGTAATTTTTTTAATTCAATTTTTTATTCTAATTTAATTTAGGTACAATAACGAA